CCCCAAAACCCCAAAACCCCAAAGGCTTAAAATTGAACATTAATCATTTTAAGATTATTCTGAGGATAGAAATAAGCTTGAAAATATATTATACTTTATATCATCAAATAATGGTTAGATATAATATTTTAAGAAATAAATTTCCTCACATGATTTTAAGAGGTTTAAAATATCTAATAACTTGTTTAATAGCAATTTAAGTGATTCAACCTCTTCTGGCAAGAGTCCAAGCAGGTTGATCATCATTGTAGTAAATATATGCTGTATTTGGTTTTTGTTAGCAGATACCAGCATATCTTTAAGTAAATGATAGATTAATTGATTTCTGCTAATTCTTATCTACAGCTCTCCAGTACAAGACTATGTCTTAATTATAATTTTTGACTTCGTACTGATCAACTTATTTGTTTCTCTTCAGAGTTTCAAGAGCATTGAAGTCAATTTGTAAACAGGCAGGAACTCTAAATATTGCCACAGTCATTCCAACACCCTTCTTAGTGTTTAGGTTTTTAACATTTAGAGTATACGTGAATTGCTTTGTAATTTAGTTATCAGCACCTAGATTTTTAACATCGAACTTCTATAGAACATCAAATGATAACACTGTAGAGGCAGCAACTGGGTTAAGATCAAAGTAAGAATAAGTAAAGGCATAGTTGACCTTGAAGTCACTTGTCTCTCCTTTTTGTTGGTTGAAGTTCTCTAAGGATAGAGAGATTGATACTGATGAATTAGGAGTTTTTAGAGAAGCAAATTTAGAGTCTGAAAGAATGCTTGTGAAATCAAACTCAATTGCATCTTTCTTATCAGCAGTGAATTAGATTGTTTGTGCTACAGTATTGTTAACTCTAAGTACGAATTAGCCATCACCATTGATTGAGGCAAAGTTCTTCATGTAAGAGGTTATAGCTTTTAGAGAAAGAATAGTTCCCTGAGTGGAACCATATGCTCCCATCTTTACCTAAGATACTAGCCAGTTCATTGATTTCATAATGCTCGATGAATATCTCTATTAATTGTTCATCCAAGTAATAATAGCAATAGCTGTAGTTTCAATGATTCTCTGACTGCCATCTGAAGTTGTAATTGTAGTCAATGACCTGGAAATGTTTCCTTGAGGCAATTGATAGTTTACTATTATGTCAGCATACTTTTGAGCCTCTTCATTTCTTTTAAGATTGTACAAAGATGATGCGAGAAGTCCTAAGAAATACACATCAACCGTGTTATTGGTGATTGACTGGTCAGCTTATTTAATCAAATTGGCTGTTTCGTTTGCAACGTCAGTTTCACCTGAGGATGTAAGGGCCCAAATAATATAAGCATCTGTGATGTTTGCAGGTGCTCTGCCAAAGCTATCCAAGGCTTTATCATTCTAAAGGAAACCTCCCTTACTGTTTCTTCTACTTAGGAGCCATGTTTTAAGGTCACCCACCATTTTAGTGTCTACAAATTAAGACACTTTTGACATCTCAGTAAATTGTAAGAGCCCATAAGCACTAAGTCCCTCGTGAGCTGGACTTTCTCCAAACCATTCATATCCTTTCTCTTTAGTCTAGAAAGTTACTAATTTATCGTAACCTCTCTTTAATTTTGCTTGAATGTCAAGCTTCATTTCCTTAATTTATTAATCTTCAACGGGGAGTGCTTCAAGGAAGCCAAGAGCCATTACCATAGGGTAAGTAGTTGAAGATGTTTATTCAAAGCAACCATTTGGTTCATTAATTAAGGCTTTAACAGCTTCAACTAGACTTGCAAATGAAGAACTAAATATCTTCAAAGAGAACTTAGAGGAACCAGCTTCCAGTTTTGCTGGGATAGACAAGTCAAATGAAATTGAGGATGGTGTCGACTGATCAAAGATTTGTGAGCCAATATAACCTCCTTTATTAACTTCTCTCTCAAAGCCCTTGGGTACTACTCTTGTCACGAGCTTCAATGAATCTTAAAAGTTGGTGTTATTGCCTGTTCCATTGAATAGAATTTAAAGTTAAGCGAGATCGCTGATTGCTTTAGCCTCAATTAAAATAACAACTGTTGAACTCTTTTTACTCTCAATAGTGACATTTGGCTTTGCAATTGTGACATTCAAACTTGAGTCTGCTTTGACAATAGTAAATGCTCCAGTTACTTTGTATCCATTTAGGTTGAAAACATTGGCATTAATTTTGATTGAATCGCCTATTATCATTGAAGTTGGAACATCAAAAGTCATATAAACTGGTTTTTAGGTTTGCAAAGAGGATTAACTGTATCCTAGTAAGCCATTTCCTGAGAAAGCATCAGCAATGATTCTAAATTAAGTAATTAGGTCGCTTAGGTAAAAAGAACCCTTAAGTTCTCCCTTGGTTGCTGTGCCTGCTGACTAGTACATTACAGTTTCTGTCAAGTCGATTCTTTCATTAATATTATAGTTCTTTCTTCTTGGATGGGCCCATAGTCGAGGATTAGTAATACCAGTCATAAAATCAACCTCATTTGGATCTTCTTCAAGAGGAATGCTATTCTCAGAATTAGCTTTACCTCCTACTTTTGGAGCAATGACATTCATTTATGGTTATGGCATTCTTTCCATCATTGGCTAAGCTTTAGCTTGATCATCTGCAGCCATTGCTGCTTCTGCATACATTATTGCTGGTTATTCCAAAACATATCCATATAGTTACTGGATAGCAGCTTTAGTACTCTCGTCATAATTTGATAATTTTGACTCGCTTATCTTTAGAATTGATTCTATATCAAATATTTTGTATCTCCAGCCTTAAACTCCCAGCAATAACTCTAAATTTTAATCATTAGACTAAACATTTGAGGAAAACCAATGCTCAATGTATTAATTAGCCCAATAGAAATCAAAATCATCTGTTCTATCAATCTCGTTTTCTAAGAAAACTCTGGCAGCCAATGAGGCTGGCTGTTTTCTATCCTCAAGCTTCTTAAATACTGAATCGTCAGTTACTATCAAGCTGACATAGACATTTGTAGAAGGCACTTAATTTGTCTATGAATCAAGAACTTTAACTGTGTAGTTGACTTAATCACCTGGAAGATAAGAAGTCTTGTCAGTAGTTACAGTTACTTTAAGAGTCTTTGAAGGCTTTTTGAAAAATGTGATTTCTCCCTTGAATTCAAACCAAGACACGACAATATCAGATGGCAGGTAAACATAAGATGAATAACTGCCCCAGTTAGATGTCTATGAAGAATTAGAAGTTGTCAAGATGACATTGTTCTTTTAACTGTAGTATGTTTAATAATCCTTATAGAAATCTGGAGATACTTTTCTAAGTTAGACAATGAAGATTCCTCCATTTACAACTGGAAATGAACTAGCCTTAATATTAACAGTAGAATTTTTATTTGGCTCAAACTTTAGCTCTTATGAATAAAGTGATTTCTCCTTAATTTTCACATCAAGGATATAGACATTAGTGTTTTTCATGTTAGCGTTAGTAGTAAATAGAATCTTCAAGTCATCATTGTTGCCAAGAATTCTGTTCTTGTTTGTCACTGTGAAGGTTACCTCGTTATCAGAAATCTTTATCGGAATCTCCCTTCTGATAGAACTGTACTTCCCATCACTGATTTTCAAGTACAGATTCGTATCATTTGGATGGGGCCAGTACATAAAGAACCCCTTGCCCTTGTGGATGGTTGACACGTTAGAGACTATTGTGAACTCATTGGGGGCTAAAGTTTTAAGGTTGGTCGCTCTCAGAACTATAAGTTATGCTCCTGTGAAATCATAAGCATCAGCTCGGGCATCAGTCGCCCATGCCTGGAAGTATATCTTGTTCTGGATTCCTCTGGTAATGAATCCATTTTCAGGGAAGAAATCTATAGTAGCTTGATCTGGCTGACTAATTACTACATTCAAGGTATGTGACTGAGAAACAGTGCCATAGGTAACAATAAAAGTTATTGGTAATATGTTAAGATCGCAATCTAATGGAATTTCAATAGAAAAATATCCTGACCCATCCTGACTTAAAGCTTGCTTTCTGATCTCAACTAACTATTTAGTTGGACTCGAAAAATTGAGTGAATATTCATAAGTAGGTAAAGAACTGGTTTAAAACCCTTCACCATTTGCTTATTCAACGTTGATTTTACCATCAATTGTTTGACCAGGCTAATAAGAGTCTAGACTAGTCATTGATGTAATTACTAATTGATCTCTTGGGTAATCTCTGACTCGGAACATTTTAGTAATTTTAGGAATGCTTATACTTTGTGCTATTATTGAGTATTCACCACCCACAGCAGTAGCTGGTATCTTGAAATTTACTACCACTGTAGAGTTTTAAATCAACTGATATGTTGTGAATAGACTATTGCCTGAAGGATCATTAATTTGGATAGTCACATAATGGTATTAGAAGTACTCGTTTTTATTGGTCAGTGCTACTGGAGTTTTATTAAAAGCGTCTAATAGCAGAATCTCGATGAAAACTACATCATTTGGCCGATAAATAACTTTGTCAATGTTTATATGAGCATCAAGTCTTTGATAGTAATTGCTGATAACATAGTCCTTAAGTTACTTAACTTGCTGCTTCACCCATGTAAGATTATAAGTTGCAGTTTCGGTTTTTGCAGCACCAACGCTTATTTACTAGTCTGGAGTCTTATCTCCTCCATTTATTTTGGTTAAGGAGTTTAGTAATCCACTATAAGATATTAGATTGACCTAATCAACAGGGTTGCTGGGATTTTGATCTGCTTAGAGGAAGTTTGAATTATCTAGACTAATACTAAGTATTGCTACTATAGTCACAGATAGAGCTAAACTTCCAATAAGGACCTTCTTAAAGAAAGGATTCATTGAGAATTTATTATGTAAATATGTAATATTATAATAGATTTTAAAACTATGATCATGTTTAATTAATAGATTTTGATTTTGATTTGATTTATATATAAGTTAATATAGATATCTATTTATTTAATTCAATTTTATTAAGAAATTTACCCAAAGGGGTTTTGGGGTTTTGGGG